GTGATCATTCCTTGATAGCATCCCATCTCGCGGCTATCGTCCATCGAGTAGTCAATCAGTTTTGCGGCTAGACCGAGTCGTCGATATTTGCTATCAACTGAGATTATGTTCAGAACTAGCAGTCGGTTTATCTCGGGCGACATCAATGGCCATATCTGTACATATTTACATCGAGTGAGCAAATTCACACAATGCAACAAATTTTTGCTTGTCAAAAAAAGAAAAGCTCTTCTTTCGTTGATTGATAGATACATTAGAAATGATTAAATATTTGACGCTGAGATGTGCACTAAAGCTGTACCACAAACATAGCAATTGTTTTGATGAATGCTTAAAAGAACGTGAAAGAATGAATAATACAGCGATGTGAGCAGATGAATAATGTGATTTTTTGAATTCAGAAACTATTTTTTCAACGAACTGGAATGTGCAATTGAATGTCAAACGAAGACAATCTCTTTGATCTCTCTGACCCCACTCTAATGCAATCTCATTGACAAGAAGAAACTGCTGTCAAATTTGGTCGTGCATGTGAGGAAAGTTTTGCACTCCCTTACGACAATTTTAATCCTCATTTACGAATTGACTGAATGGCCGAACCTTTCGAAATGACCATTGAAACTTTACGGTTAGGTGAAACGATTCTGGCCAGGAACCTACAGAGGCCAAGCCATTCAATAAATTAAATAAATAAAGCCGTAAAACTACTTTTGAGCACTTACTTTACTTTCCAGTTCAACCAGTATATTCTCTATCAGCATAGCTTTTCCAGTCAATTCTGGTATCAGATCATCTTTTGGGTTTCTCTGAAAATGAACGCTTCAGTCAGAAATTATTTGAAACTGAAACCATTCGAATTTCATGATTGCCAACTGTCGCTGAGCAGAAAACACTCAAGGCTGTTGGTTTGGTGGAATGGTACAAGGAATTTGATACTCTTTTATAAGCCATGGATAGAAACTGAAGAGATTAGGCTTTTACAAATGTCAAATGAGATTGTTTCGTATCAAAACGAGGGATGACATTATTGATATTGGTTGTGCGAATGCACACAATGTTGTTCTCATTTTGATGAGCATTTGCTTCGTCGTTTTACTGAAATTGTTCTGAATTCGAAAATGAACACATGTAGACTCACAACGTTCTGTTGCTGCTTTGATCTTAGCATTGGTGAGCACAATTCAACTGTTGCAATATTGCCATTGGTATCACGAAGCAGATAACTGAACGACGATGCTACACTGGCTTTCACAGTAGCTGCAAACNGCAAACAAAACAAACATCCTTCGCTAAGGTATTCCCTCTTCAATCGGTCGTGAAGTTCATTCGCAAAATACTTTTCGATCATGCTCATGCAAGGAGCTTTCTTTTTTCTACATTGTGCAGTGCAAGCAATAAATATATTGCCTCCTGTATTACAATTTATTGAATTGAATTTATTCATTTCATAAAGACATCTTGAGAAAAACGGCAGCTTTAGTGCGAAACATGAGTTATACACAAGTGAACTGAAAATTGAATTCAGCTAATCACTAAAATGAAATGTTTTCATCGTCGAACTCTATGGAATGAGCAGTCGACTACAAAAGAATCTCACTGGGTGACAGATGAATGTTTCGTATGTCGAATTAATTTGAACAGAAGTGAATGCATGAATGAATGAATAAAAAGGAAATTAAATTAAATTTGCTGACAGTCGAAAAAAACTTCGCTGTCCACTTCTGCGAAACCAATTGCTTTGTTGAGCGGTTCATTGATCAAGAAATCTTTCACCAGAAAGTTTCGAATATCCACCGAATCTTTTTCAGTTGCTCGATACAACCGCAGATCGCCAAAATCAGTCTGTGAATGATCAATTTCACACTATTACACTATCATTAAATAACGGAAATCTTAAAAAATATTCTCAAACTTAGGATTCCTAAATTTTTCAACCGTTCTTCAACAACTATTCTGAGTGGCATGCACATGATTCA